GGCAGTCCCAATGCTCTGCGTGGTGCTGATTTATATGATTCATCAATTCCAGAGAAACAAAGATGGAGCACATTTCCCTTATTTTTACAGTATTGCTAAAGTCTTAATAGAGATGCAGGAAGGAAATACATGAGGTCAAAAAGACAAAAATCAAGTAGAACCACTAAATAAACAGGCCCAGTAAAATGTGGGCCATACCATATGTATGGCTGACATTTTAATCATCTGTGTACAATTATTTCTAGGACAAGTTTAATGATGGAGCTTTCTCTACATCTATATTCTATGGAACCAATTTTGTAGCAGCACAATGATCCAAGGCTTTCAAGAAATAAAGTGAAGAAGTTATATTTTCCCTAAACATATAAATGTTGTTTGTGATCAACAATTTAGAACAGGGGATATATAATTCAGATAATGTGTGCCAATATAGCTTCTTCTTTTTTGAAGTACACAGGTAAGGCTAATAAAAATAATTAAAAAAACAGAAGGGTATTTACCAATTCACATAACCTAGTCTGAAAGTCTGGAGCATAATTAGGTGAATATAAATTAATTCAAGTTATTGTATTTTAAATTTAATAAATATTATTTATTTTATTAGATTTGTATAAAAGCCACCCACTAGTATTATGCTCTTTGGGTGGCCATTAAAATAAAAATATCAAATAATACAGTGTCAAATAAAAATAAAAATCTGTAGAATCAGTTATGCAAATAGCTGTTCCAACTGAATATGGCTAAGTTGTCCAATAAATTATAGTTATATAACACTTGCATTGTTTCATGATTACTGATTTTGGGCAAGGATATAGTTATATTTTTTTTAATCAAAAGGGTTAAAATGGAGTTTATAGCTCCATGTTCCCTTAAGCACAAGAAGATTCTGCACGGTAAGTTTTCATCCAACATTTGGACATATGGCCTAGCATCCAAAATATTATTACATTCCCTTTATATACTGCCTTTTCTCACCTGTGAAGAGGAAGATGTTACATAAAATTAAAGATACGTAAGCAGCTTTATCTTAAGTGTTCCTCAATTATACACTTTGTCTAATTTTTCCTGTATGAGAAAATTAGAACCCAATATAAACATATTAGGAACCAGAGCTTGAAGTGTCAATCCAAGTTTTATTCACTTTAGCTGCTTCCAGACAAGGCTTTTACAAGAATCAACTGCCTCATCAACAGAATGAGGCAGTTGCCAACAACATGCCAACAACATGGCATACAGAAGTCATAATCTTCTATTTCTAACCTTCTTTATTTTCACCACTGTTTCTGTTCTCTTATCTATAAAAAGTCTGTTACCGGGACAAGATTAAATAGCAGTACAAGGCTTTTTCCTTAGTAGTCAAGGAGCTGTCTAACTTGGGAAGCATGCTCCATGAGATTGAATAGAAGCACCTAGGGGCTTGGTGTACCTCATCAGTAAGGGTGGTTAGAGTGATGGTTGGTATGTTATCTCTGCACAATTTCAAGATGTTAGGAAATTCTAAACACAGAAAAGTTACAATTCCTAATCAAAAACAATTCTATATACTGTTCTGCACTGTTATTTTTCGAAATCATGGTACCCAGAATAGCCCACACTTTTATGAAACTCTTAGCCCAAGCGTACTGTTATTCAGAAGTATGCTGCAATAATTTCTATGGGATGTATTTCCAGATAAGTGTGCATAGGACATAGTCCTTCATTTTTTATGCAGATATTTTGTAGGCATATATTTTCATGGGGAAAACATGTCATAAGAAACACAGCCATAAGAAACACAGTCATAAGAAACACATATATAATATTGCCAAATCATTGGGCATTGAAGAGAAAGAACAAAAGTTATGTAAGACAGGAAATACATTAGCTGGGCTGAAACCAGTGTTAAATAACAGGAAAACCTGTGGAAGGTAACTTTCTCACTGCTCTTAAGCAAGAAGAATGTGAAACTGATTCCAGATATTAAGCTTGGCCTGTTCACTGATCTAGGAGGAACATTCTGCCAGAGATGCATCTACTCAAAAAAATTACTCCTTCAGTCAGGAAAGCACTGAACTCTGCTACTACTTTCTGATTGTGCCACAAATTCTAGATGTATTAGAACAGCTTTGTCCATCCATTGCCCACCATTACCTTCATTTCTAGCTTTCAAATCATATGCATAGGACCAAGCCTTGGGTTTCACAGTGATTATTCATCTCTGGTTACTTATGTTTAGTAAGTGTATCCCTACATTACGTATCTGTAAGAATATGATGAAACAATGAGAGAGATCATTCTTTTGTATTTATATCCTGCTCATGGGCTTCTTAGAGGGATCTGGTTAGCCACTATGAAAACAGAATGCTGGACAGAACCAGTTCTCATGTTCCTATCTACTGCTTAAACATGTCAGTTATGATTATGATTAAATGATATTATGACATAGTAACTGGTGTGAGTTTGGACGGTGATATGCTGAAGACTTGGTTTGTATATTTAGCTACAGGAAGAACCTACTCTCTCTCTTTCCACCTCACCAAGACCCTTCAAAGAGATGATTAAACATATGCTTTTATGATGGTTAGAAAGAGTAAACAAGATTTTTCTTTATTTTCTTAGTCATTACTGTGAAGCTAACTCCACATAGTAAGTGATCATAGAAATGTAGCCATACCATAAGCATATTCACTCAGGATTAAACATTTCCAGAGAGGTAGCCATTACTTTATTGCTGCACAAACATAGTCATGTGGTGACTTAAAGACTAACAGTATTATTCTGACATAAGATTATATGGACTATAGTCTACTAAATCAGTTGCATGAATTCTTAGTGAGTGAGTGTGAAGCTTTTACCTATACAGTACATATGGTCTCTGGGGGAGGGGATGGAGGTCCATGGTGCAGCATTAGAGTACATGCTGTACATGCTAAAGTCTCCGTTTTAATCTCGGATGTCTCCAAGTAGGGCTGAAAATAATCCTGCCTGAAATCCTGGAAAGTTAGTATAATAATACTGAGCCAGGAGGACCAACAGTCTGACCACAATCTGAGATAGAATCCTATGTTCCTATGGTAAACACTGAGAGTAAAAGAAAATGAAACGCAGAAGGTATTTACACAGTGGCAGTCCATTATTAGCAATGTGATCAAGCATGAAAAAGTTGCTACTGATAACACACATATCCTGGTACTAGGTAAGTCAATCCATGCATATAATGTATGTCATGAGAAAACAATCCTTTATCCTGATTCAAGTCTCTGGTAATAGAACTGAACCTGGCTATATCAGACTGTTTAAAAATAATTTTGTTAGGAGTGACCTGTACTCCCTTCAGAAGAGTGATTTTAATTCAATAGTCTCAGATTAGGATGAGAGATTAGAGTTAGCATTCAGTTCTATTGCCAGAAGCATGAATTGGGATATAGGAATTTTTCAAGACACTACAAGGGAGAAATCTTGTGCTTTCTAGGCATTGTCTAAGGAAAGAATTGCACTGGCTGCTCTGATGACGGGAAACAAACTTGGCGATGGGTGAAAGGGCACATTTTGGGTAGCGGAGAGGAGATTACGGAGACCAGAATATGAGATCTGAAATGCTGTGACCAGACTGCTGAAAACAGCAGAGATTGTATCATTGTTCCTCTGGCTTTGCACTGCATAAGCTTGGATGATCTTCTGAGTATGGAGGACTTACGCTGATCTCCATAGGACTGCACCTTTCCTTGATTTTCCGGCTGCAAGGATGTTTGTGATATCAAATATCACCCTAGAGAGCCAATGTGGTGTAGTGGTTAAGAGTACAAGACTAGGACTGGGCCTTATCTCAGGGTTCTAGTCTCCAATCAGTCAAGGAACTCACTGGATGAGTTGGGCCAGTCACTGATTCTCAGTTCAAACTACATCACAGGGTTGTTGTTGTGAGGGTAAGATGGAGGGGAAGAGAATCATGTAAGCTGCCCTACATTCCTTGAAAACAAAAATGGCAGAATATAAATATAATAAATAAAGCAATCAGTAATCGTTTTGTAAACCACAGCCTTTAATAATGCAACTGACACTACCAGTACTTTCTGCCGTTCATTTCCTGGCCTCACAACAACACTCTTCCCACCCCTTCCCTTACACACATCATATGTACAATATATAAACCAGAAAATCTTCATGACATTTCATGTATCTGATGAGTACTTCAATCCAGAAAAGCTTATGGTAGGAAAAACAGCTCAGCCTTCAAGTGCCACAAGCGTCATAAATATGACTAACTCTATCTTTAGGGCTTGCACATGCATAGGGAAGCTTGCACACTTCTGAACCACTATGCACAGGAACCACTATTGATCTGAGCAGGACTTACTTCAAAACAGCATGCAGAGGATTGATCCTAAGTATGCTTTCAGAAAATTAAATCCATGCTATTCAGTAGGAAGAAGTCCCAAGTGCACAGGTCTGTACACAGTGTTGACCACAAGATGTGCCTTGCCTTGGGCAAACACGTGACTCACTGCTGAGGCAACACGCATAAGATCGCGCATCTATTATTTATTTGATTTCTACCTCGCCCTACATCATTCTCCTCCTCCCGCTCTCAATCGTATTCGCACAACAACAACTCTGTGAGGTAGGTTGGGCTGAGAGTCTGTGACTGGCTCAAAGTCACCCAGTTGGCTCCATGCCTGATCGGGGACTAGAGCCAGGATCGCCTGATTCCCAGCCCCACGATCTTAACCAACACACTACGCTGGGCTCTCAGTGCCCTCATCTCCCGACAGCGCACCTACCATTTCTATAATCTTGGTCTTCCGGCCCGTCTTCTTCTTGATGGTGAAGATGTACTGCGCCAGGACCACCCCTCCAACTAGGGCGCACACGCTGGCGCTAGCCATCGCTCCCATTTTGGCTACGGCGCTCTTGTCCATGGTTCTCGTCGGGCTCACGCTTCGGCCTCGAAAGCAGAAAGTACGGCGGCGATGTCACGGGTCGGACGACGGCCCGCGCGATTTTCTCCCCTGAGGCAGCTCTGGCAGGTGCTGCGCACCGCCGGCGACAGCACCGTCCCTCGGTCCCAAAGCCGCGGCGGCTCGGAGAGCAAAAGCCGCGGCGGCGTTGGCGGCGTTCGACTCCCCTTGCCCTCTATCGCCGCAGCCTCTCCCGGCTTCTGCCACCACGGCGCGCGCGTAGCCAACCGCTTCCCTGCCAGAGGAACGGCGGTTGCTGCTAGACACGCTTTCGGGCGCTTGAGTTCAGCAAGGACTCTGAGGAAGTGGCCGGCCACTCTGGGCGGGAGAAGCCACTCTAACCCGCGGGAGAGTGTGCGCCTTTCGTCCGATTTATTTTGTCCTGCTCCAAACAGCTTATTTAAATTCGAGGTGAAAGAATCCCTTTCATCGCCTTCTTCTAAGCACGTTACAAAATGGACGCGAACAACTAGAGCAGAATGCGGGACGACAAGCGCTTCGCTATTGCGGGGGCAGCATTTCCTCTCCTCCGATAAAGGATAGTACAGTCCAAACTGCCTTTAGTCCACCCATGCTTACCTTTTGGCTAAGACTACATCTCCCAGCATGCGCTGCGCCGCCTGGAATACGACGGCCGCACTTCAGCAGCAGCTTTCTCCGCCCTCTTCTCCAAGCGCCTTTCCTCGAGAACGGGGAGTGGGCGGGGCTGACGTTGGTTGTTGGGGCGCTATGACAACGGGAGCAAAGATGGCGGCGAGCAGAGCTAACTGAGTTGTGATTGCTTCTCCGTCTAGTATCAAGGAGATTCCCTCTTTCTTTGTAGCACCAGCTCGAGAAAGCTTATTCTCTATTTGTGCCCTGTCCTCTACTATTTATTTATATGGCTTGCCGTAACACGCTGCTACCTGAAGGAGGGCATTTATGACAAGAACTTGCACGTCCTGGACAGTCTTAGCTCTAGAACTCTGTTTGGGCCGAAAAAGACTTTCTTGAAAGTCCAAAGCGCCCACGCTGAACGGACGGTTATTGCTTCTGCATTGTTGTGATTGAGGGAAGGGGTACGGGGAGAGAAGAAAAAAGGCTTCCCGGTAGGTCGGGTGAGTAAAAAGGCGTTTAATTTCATGTTTTATGCTGAAGGAGACAGATGCTGTCATTTGATTTATTGTCGATCCCTTTGGACGTTTTCTCAGTAGTACTTCCTACAGAGTTTAGTGGGATTTACTCCAAAGGAAAATAGGTAGATGATTGTATTGAATGTGTAGCGTTGTATTTCAGTCCTGTGCATTACATTGCAGAAGTAAGTATCAGTGTATTCAGTGGTGCTTACAAACAACAGGATTTTCATGGTACAACTCTACCTTTAGGGATGCTTAGCTGAGATTAAGGCCCATTGAGCACAGTGGAAACTCTCAGTAAAAATGAGCATGGATGAACAAGTATCCTGTATGTGTAAAGCCCTCTTGTCTGGGTACAATGATGTACATTGGTGTAAACTGTTCCTATTACTGGAATTACCAAAATCAGTTGGAACTCACCGTGGTGGTTTCATTCAGAATAATATTTAGCATTGGAAAGTCTTACTGACAGCTGAACAATTTATGTAAGGCCTATACCTCCAGTTTTTGCACTCTTTATGGCAAGTGATATTTTAGCTATATTTGCCTAAAGAAATGGATTGTGATTTGGATATCAGATAGATTTTAGCACAATAGATGTATGATCTATTTATTATAAATTTTTTCAGTATATAAGAAAAGGATTGGAGAAGCATACAAAATTATTGTGTGTTTGGTGTATATCTTTTAAATATTTGCATTTGCTACCCTAGTAGTTGTGTTTCAAACATCATGGTCATACTATTCTTGCTAGGCCAGGGCAAGGATTATTGAGTCATGCTTTGGATAACTGCAGTGAAGGTAGGGATTAAAGCAACCTATTTGTGTACTGTTGGATTGAGTTCCTTAGCTTGTATCACAAGGGCAACTTCAAGAAGATTAAAGAACTAATGCCTGTCTAACTGTTTTTGAGTACATCTGTATTCTATTTAAGTCTTTTTGTGTTATTGCTAAGGAGTAGGATTGCACCGTGCTAACTTAGTTTGCTATTTGTTGTTTATATAAGTTAGAAAATGTTGCAGTGTGAAGTGTTGTTAAGTGTTCCATTTAGCCACATTCTGTTTTATCTGCCCTCTCACCTAGTTTTCCATCTCTCAGAAGTTGGTCAGCATTTTGTGAACTTGTTCATTTCTGATTCAGCTGTTTTTAAGGTCATACTACCCTCCAGGTTTTATTTCCCAAAGAGACACAGAGAGAGAGAGAGAGTGTGCATCTGTGTGAGCGTGCATAGTTTTGCGTTGTGGTTCAGAGCTGGGACTGGGACTCAGGCGATCTGGGTTCTACTCCCCGCTCAGCCGTGGAGCCAACTGGGTGACTTTGGGCCAGTCACAGCCTCTCAGCCCAACCCACCTCACAGGGTTGTTGTTGTGGGGATAAGATGGAGGAGGAGAATGATGTAAGCTGCCTTGAGCCCTTTGTAGGAAAAAGGCAGGATATAAATTGCAATATGAATGAATGAATGAATGAAATCCTTGGCTGTTTCTTCAAACTTTCTGGAGGGGTGGTTATGTTTTGGCTATGTAAGTAACAACATTCACTGAATGAACATTGGAAATAGAGGAAATTTTCATTTGTTATAATAGCACAATTGGTGTATATGTGCAGTGATCAAAGTAGTCCTATCCATAAACAGAAAACATTTGTGAGCAGAAAACTGTCTTTTCAAATTAAGGCCTTTGTGTCATATTAAATACTGTTCCCAAGAGTCCTCTCAGTCTTCATATACAGTTTTTCAGGGGATGTAGAGGCTACAGTAGGAAGGGAAGATTATGGAACAGGAAGGTGTTGTTACACATATGACACATTACACGTAGCCTTTTGAATCCTAGCTTACCAGGTAACAAACAAACCAACCCCACCCCCCTCCAGTTCTTGGTATTTTTGAACAATGCTGGAATAACTGGACAAAAAGAGATTGTTCTTCTAGGCTGAGGGTGAAAAGACACACAAAAGCTTATTCTGCGCAATTGCAGCTGTCACTTTATTTTGCTGGCAGCATGATGCCCATCTCTTGTCATGAGTAGTAGTGTGAAAATATTTGATTAATAAAAGAGAAGTGCACAGAATAATGTTTTTAGCTGTTGCAGTTTCTGATGTTGGCATGTGTAGCTGCTGTTTAAGTTTGAATAAATGCTAGATACTGTGCCTGTGATAAGCAGACATAAGGACTTGCACGTACATTTGACAAGCTTTTTAATGCGCCTTGCCAAATAAGAGCCTCCATGCTGCATTACAAATGGTCTTTCCTCCTAAGTTTTAAAAAACAGCTTGTTATATGGCATGGAGTTTCGTTTGTCTTTCCATCTGTAGGATAAAATAACTGCAGCCGCATTTTTGTTTTGAATTGTGGGACTTCATCCCACAAAGTTTACAATTTCTGTACAGTGTAAATATAATTAGTCCATTCAAAATGTTGGTACAAAATCCTGTTAAAGAAAGAGAACACAGTGATGGTTGCTCAGAGAAAATGACCGTAATGTAATGTATATTCCTAACTTGGCTGTAATGTTAATACTTGCTGCATAGGTTTGCTTAAGCATTTCTCAAAAACAGTCTATAATAAATACAGAAAGCTTCAGCTTTTGGTTGGTATAGATGATATAATCATAATCATAATAAAAATGGTTTTTCACCAGCCAGTTTTTCTTCATTAGGGCTGAAGGAAAATGTCTTTATTTAAAGCCCGTGAGTGGTGGTCTACAGTAGTTGGCAACAAAGAAGAATTTGATCAAGGATGTTTATGTGTTGCAAATGTTGACAATAGCAGTAGTGCACAAGGTAAGTGGACTTGGTTAAATGTGATGTATAACTACTATTGTAAAACTTTACTAGCAAATTATAGCAAAAATATTTAAATTCTTTTATTTAGGAATTTATTTATTTAGGAATCTTAGGAAACAGGGCTCCAGGAGCTGTTTACATATGATCAATAACATAGGATAGTCCCTTCCTGTATGATTAAAATCTAAAAAGTTAAAACACAAAGAAAAGGTATTTGGGAAAGAAGAGGAAAAAATTAAGTGTTGTAGTTGGGCTGGTGGAAATAGCACTGCTTTCTACTCTCCCTAATTACAGCTGGTGGTATTGACAGTTGGAAGAGGAGCCATCAAAAAGATGGTCTTCAGCAGGGCTGGTGAAATGGCTCCACTCAACCTTCTCCCTTTCCTTCCCTTAAATGGCATTTAGCAAGATAGAGACTGCAACCCTAAGCATATTTGTTGGGAAACATGTTTAATAAAGCATGGAGATATTTAATTCTGAATAAATATGTTTAGAATCAAGCTATAAGTCTGTAACCAAACACCTGCATCTTATCTGCATCTTAACTTGACCATAAGCTTCACACTTCTGTGGAACTTGCTTCCATATAAGCATGCATTGGGTTCAGTCTCTATCCTCTATAACAGTAGAGGGGCAGTATAAGATAATTCAGTTTGTGCAAGCTTCACTTTAATTTCTTGGGTATGTTTATTTTTCAGATAAAATAATTGTGGGCAGTTATATGGGTTCACTTAGAATTTATAATCCTCATCCTATAAAACCTGGAGATGCTATGCAAGCTGAAGATTTGCTCTTGGAAGTACAATTAAGTGAACCAATACTACAGGTGGAAGTAGGAAAATTTGTTTCGTAAGTAAACAGTCAGCATAATGAGCATACTAATTGGTAGAACTTAATTGCACAAATTTATCACTAGAGCCAACTTGGTCCCCTAAGGATTGACTAAAAATATTTTATGAAGTGTTCTGGGATTATAGCAGTTATACTAGCAACATAATATGAATTTTCGCATATTTATTGCGGCAATCTATTATGTATCTTACAATATTAATATTGCTGATTTGAACCCTAGTAGACATTATACAATTAAATTTAAAATAAAAATAACATTTTGTTATGGTCAGTCAGATATTTGTCCAAACTATGGCTTATGTCACTCACACTTATCCATTTTACCATTTCTGGATTTAAAATATGCTTTTAAACTGTATTTGTCCTGCTGTCAAAAGCAGACAGCTATAGTTAGTGTTAGAGATGTACCAAAGTTTTATGTAGAACTTTGGTGCACAGAAAAGAGTTGGGGGAAAGGGGAGAATATTCTTCAAAAGCACCCTGTCTTCACTCACCCTCTTTTTTTGCATTTGTTTACTCCTGTTTGTTGGCTTGTTTGGCAGCAGCTTTGGCACTGTTTTTCTTCTTGCTTCCTCTGGGATCTAGCCACTCAGGAACCACAGAGCCATCATTATAATGTCAGAGTTGCACATAACCAGTCATATTTTGTCATGTGACAGTGTCACAGAGCCAAATTGAAGTGAGACCAGTACTTCTTGCCATCTCTTGTCCTGTTTTGTAGGCCTCCAGAACTATCAAGAGAGGGGAGCCCTTTTTTCATGGCATTTGCCTTCCTTGCATCATTGCTAGTGCTAACCTTGCAAACTTATTTTAGATAAGGCTTCAAATTATAGTTTGACGGTTAGCACTGGCAATAGTTTGTCCAATTCAGACATCATGGCAAGCTATGAATACAGAAAAACGGGAAATGAAGGGAAGCTTCCATTTACAAAAGTGAAGGAAGAGGAGCATGAGCTAGTGTCATGATCCTGAGGTCTGAACCAGGTGAAAGCCTTGTTAAAATCATTAGATGCCTTCAACTTAAATTTCCTGGGCAGTTTAGATGTTAATGTAGCTCTTAAATAAGTTCTGAAGTAATTCTATTGTAGTTAATATCAACTAACTTGTAAACTGTTTAATTTGTTCTGAACCCTTCAAAGAATGTTTTTCAGTGATTTCAGGTTATAGCTGAATATTTTAAAATGCTGTAGAGGTCACGAGTCAGATCATGTAGGAATCCTGTTTTCCCATGTAATAAGAGAACAACCTTGCATGTAAATCATAAAGAGATAAATAAGCTTGTTACCATGTTTGCAAATTGGGGAAGTTTCTAAGGATTTGAAAGTCTTCAATATGCAGTGCATATATGATTTGTCAACAGTGTTGAGTACAAAAACCATTTTAGGTGTTTTCTGTGCCACTGACTCTTAACCAAAGTTTAATAGTATCATTTCTGGCTTATACACTTTCCTTACAAAGGGGCTCACAATTTTTCTTCTTCCTGACAGTGGTACAGAGCTGCTTCATCTGGCTGTATTGCACTGCAAAAAGTTGTGTGTTTATGCTGTATCAGGTAAAAATAAATCTCTTTAGATGATGTTGATGATAAGTTCTTTTCCTTTTTCTCTACCTAAGTAAAATTTAGCATTCTCCTCATAGTGATGCCATGCCAATTGAGAAATTATAAAAGGTGTATAGTATGGAATTGGTGCTTTTCCTCTTGGTAAAATTATTATTATGTTCATCCTTGTATTATTGGAAAGTAATTATTGTTGGTGTTTGAAAAGGTGTAACATATGATACTTTTCATTATTAGCACAGTAAGAGCTCAGTGGAAATTCAGCTCTGGAATGGAAATATCAGAAGGTTCAGTTCCCAGTATGTCTACAGTGTCAAAGAAAACTAACTAACCCAAATTATGAATAGGACACCAGACTGGTTCTCACATAATACCAAGCTATGCTGTTTTTTGAAATCTGGCTTGTGTGTTAGCCCATTCTTACAAACATACCATAGTTTGTTAACCAGCCATAAAGTACAAATAGGACCCGTGCTTTGTTTTTGACTTAAGAAGTATGGCTTGTTTAAACCATGACTTATTTTGATGTCTGAATCCCAAACCATGGTTTATACCTGGCTTGTTTATGCTGTTGTCTGTCCTGAAAAACAGGCACCCAGTTAGAGCAGCCTGAAAATGGAACTGCTCTGAAGGCTCACAAAATGAATGACAGAGAAACAAACCAGAAATCAGGAAAATAATATGTAATTTGTGACTAGTGTTAAAGACAGTTCGTGGCTCCAGCAGCAACTCTGGTTAAAATAAACCATAGCTTGTGGTTATGTGGAAACACAACAAATAGTGGTCAAGAATCTCTAATGAAATAACATTGGTAACTAAGGTAGAAATGATTAATTTCATAGCTTAATCTAAGAAGGACTTGGACTTAGACACTTTCAGCATTCAGGACCTTTAAAGGTCTTCATGGCAGTGTTCAGGCCTGATATATGTAAAATGATAAGTAAAACACAAATGCCTGTGAATATTTACTTTCTCTGATTTACCCTTTACGTAGCTACCACATGACTAGAGGACGTGGCTGCTAGGTCCGAGGGTATGTTTTCCAGCAAGCCCAATACTCAATTTCTCTTAAAAATGCACTTAAATATGGCATTACACTATGTGAATATAGCAGTGGTCAGGTTTAGATGACTCCTGGTGAAAAGTACATGGGCTCAGAAGATCTTAACCCTGCTTTTAAACAGATTTACAAAACATGGAAGCCCTTCTATCTTAATTTAACTTTTTTGTATGTTGACAACTTAAAATGGCAGTGAAGGACTGACATCTTGAATGTATATGTGAACTGACAGTAATATACTGAAGATTATATTTCCACCATGGGTGTGCGGACTGATTAGTACTCAAATGTATTTATTTATTTTATTTATTTAAAACTTTTGTATGCCATCCCCCATGCAACACATCTCGGGACGGCTCACAAATGTAATCTCTAGCCCTAACAAAATGTACTGAAGGAGACACTGGGATGAGGGTTGAATAGCACAGATGGCTCCCCTAACATTCAAATGCATTATCTATATTAGCATTGCAATAATTAAAGTAATTAGGGTTTTATTTTCATTGCATGAGGAAACTGTACTTTATTTTTCTTGGGGCGTATATGATATAATTCAATGGAATTTTGATCCTAACAAGACTCTTCAGGTGCGATGTATCACAATATCTTCTGTAATACATTTTCCACAGGAAGAGGAAGCTATTACAAACATAATAACTTCCTTCTCTATATTTAATAGGAAGTTTGGGAAACATTGAACATGGTAACCAATATCAGTTAAAACATATGTATGAACACAACCTTCAGCGAACAGCCTTCAACATGACTTATGGGCCATTTGGAGGGATAAAAGGTAAATTCTAAAAAAAACTTGTCTCATGTGATCAATAGGATTCAAATATATTGGATTAAATAAAGATGTTTCCTGTTTTGAGTACCATAGGAGGGGTAGAGGATCTGTAGCTATAAGTCAAGCAAGGGCTGAAGCATAAAATCTAACAGCAAAAAAATGAAATTATAAGGCCTATACCCTGCTGCCAGTTGCAAGGTATAGGAGAGAAACAGTAACATCTTAGGTCTATATGTCAGAGAGCTAGATAGAAATGGGTTGCTGCCGACAGGACTGCATGATATGAGAGAATGAAAGGCTCAACAGTCTTTGGAATGTGGGACTTTTACATTGTGGTTGGAGAAGTGAGGAGCCGAAGTATCTAAGATTGGCATGGGTGACCTTTCATTTAAATTCCTTCTTAAGTTTTTCTCTCTTTCCTGGATGCTGTTCAGTTAAAAAGAAATTGTTTGGTAAAACATATTTAATCAAAACGTTTGGTGCATATTTGTTTAATTTGGACAAAAAACCCAGATTAAACTTTGATAAATAAACACTGTCTTTTTATAATGTGTATCATTCTAGTAGTTTGTTTTTGCTTGGGTGAAATGCTAATTTTGGCTTTAGTGTAAAAGATAAATAATACTTTTCTGATGCCATTTATTTATGTGCATGTTCCCATTTAAGTTTTTGTTTGTGGTGACTGTATAGGAGCCAAAATCATCTTGCATTCTTCCGAGAAATATAAAATATAATGTAATACTTTCACCCCATTCTTGGATGCACACTTGGACATGGTGAGGGGTTGGGGGGTGTTGGAGCCAAGTGCAATGCCACCAGGAGGCCAGACTCTCTCACTAGTCTGGTTCCCTAGCATGGTCACTGAGAACGGAATGGTCCAAGCTGAGACTCCAGACTAAAATATACCCACCCTCTTCAGGAATAAGGGTCATATCAGAAGAGAATGTGTATCTTTAATGGTGATGGAGGCAGAGAAACTCCAAAAGGGGGGATCCTGGGGAGCAGCAATAGTGGTGACAGTGGCAGAGAATCTTCCACAGACAATGGCAGTGAAGCTCAAGCTAACCCTGGTTAGTTCTTCTCAGAAGGTGCTAAGTAAACCACATCTCAGTTTTCTGGAATGAAACAAGAGATACTGCCAGAAAATGAGACTTCCAGGCTGGATGAGGCTCAACTTACTATTTGGAAGAGCAGTATAAATACTACTATTGACAATGACACAACTAGATCCAAGCTGAAAAGAAGGCTACTGGTCAATAGGTACAGGGGAAAACAAAAGTCTGATGCTGCAAAACACATACAGTTGAAACATGGAACATGAGAAGTATGAATCAAGGCAAACTGGAAAAAGAAAAGCAATAAATTGAGTATCTGAAAATGGACTTGAATGGGACATTTTAGGTCAGATGAACACAAAAGTATTTTACTCTGTAAAGGACAAACGTGGAAGAAACCAAATGGCTCCTAATATTGAGACAGGATGTAGTACAGGAAATAAAGGGCTGTATGCAACGTCTGAATGAATAATATCAATCAGAATTTGTGGAACATCTGTCAGTTATCATTCACGTTTATGCTGCAACAACAGATGCCAAATAAGAAAGCAAATGCTTTTATGTAAATGACCAAGAAGACATAGATAACACACCACAGTAAGGCATGCTGATAATCATATATGACTGAAATTCAGAAGAGGAAACAAAGCAGAATCACATGTGGGAAAATTTGGCCCGCGGTAAGAGACAAAGCAGGAGAATGATTTACAGAATTATGTGAAGCCAACTATCTGTTTATTGCAAAAGCATACTTCAGGCTGTACATGTGGACCTTAACTGGTGGTGCATATAGAAATAAATTGATTACATAATTGGAAGGGGTAGATGGTGAAGCTGTATTCTCACTGTTTTAACAAGAACAGGAATATTGTGATAGTGACATTGGACTATTAATATAAAAATCAGAGTAAGGTCAACAATAAGGAAATTGAAAGATTTTACATACCTCAGCTCAGTCATTAATTCAAAGGGAGACTGCAGTCAAGAAGTTAAACATGGAAGAGCAACAATGAAGGAACTAGAAAAGATAATCCAGAGTAAGGATATTTCACTGGAGGCCAACCCCAAGATAATTCGCACTATTGCATTCCTGATCACTATGCATGGGTGTGAAAACTGGAAGTTAACAGGAAAATAACCTGATATGTTCAAATCATGGTGCTGGAGAAGAGCCTTGTGGATATCCTGGACTGACAGAACGCCAAACATGTGAGCTGTAGATAAAATCAAGCCGTAACTTTTTCTGGAAGTCAAAATGATGAAACTAAGGCTGTTATATTTCAGGTACATCCTGAAAACCAGTTAGGAGATAGATTAATTCCACAAGCCACAGAGTCTACAAGAACTGAGCCTTATCAAGGACAGAACATTTTGAAGGGCATTCATTCATAGGGTTGCTCTAAGTTGAAGATGACTTGATGGCACGTAACAATAACAAATGCTTTCATGCTTTCCTTAAAGACTTTGAAGCCAAAAGAGATAAAATTGAGGCTTGCATGAGGCACTTACCAGACCAGTCAGTGTCTGGTAAGTGGATAGGAAAAAATTATTTCCTTAAAATATATTGATCCCCAGGTTTTGTGGCCATGATTTTGACCTCTTAAGTTGATTTTAATTGATCTATTTCTGAGTCCAGAATATATAGGTTTTTTGAATTCACATTTTGATATTTAACCACCAGGTGGCACTCCTGTATTTCTTTGAACCAGAATTGAAACAAAGCACAAGCTCTTAAAAATCTGTCACCCCATTGTGCCCCCAATTAATTAAACTACATTCTGAATTCAGAAAAGCCCATCTCCTTATAAACAGTGTCAGCATTATACAGAATAAAGAAATTAGCAGTTTTTGCAGGCCCTGTGTGAATAAATAGTACTGAATTGGTTTTGAATACAGTATTGAAATGTACTGTTTGTATAGATTTTATCAATGGGACACTTTCTAAATGGGAATTGATTAGAATAGAAAATGTGTGAATAGATTTTAATAATAGTAGGTGCTTTACATATTTTTGCTAAGAATTGGGCTGTATGTGCCATGAATACGTAAGTCAGTTGAAGCTGCACTTTTCTTTCTTTGCTTTAAATACCAGCCTGTTCAGGACCCTAAGGAGCCAGAGCACAGCGACAGAAGTTTATCCCATTCTTCTCACACTATGGTCCTGATAAAAGTCATCCCCTCATCTGCTATTTGGCTTGGGTTCAGCAATGTTAGCTATGTCTGATAGTTCTCTAGGGTCAAACCCCTGGTTATGCTAAATGCATCAGTTGAAATTGAAATTGTGTATATCTATTTTTACTTAAATACCCACTATGGGCAGAGAGGTATGAGGAGAGCAAGGGGTTTAATAAGCAGTCTCAATCAAAACTCCATTGTGCTGTTTAGCTCATTGAAACTATGTCTTTTTTAAAAAAAATGAAAGACAACTTTATTATTTTCTAAAATCCAATTTAAATTATTCTTTTATCATTGTTGATTTTTATCCACCCTGGTATATGAGGCAGAGATGGATGTTTTGGGGTTGCAGTCCAACTTGAATTTGCACTTTATAATAGCACATGGCTGTAGCACAAGTGCAGGGGTGCCTCCTCTGAATGCCAGTGCAATAGGACAGGTTGACATTTCGTTATTTTAGAAAGTGAATATTTAATGGGGTATAGCATTTTTATGACTTCTCTGAAAACTCTAACACAAGTAGCATTGTGAGGATCATAAGGGTTCTTTTATGTAGTTTCAAATATAAAATGGCTTCCAGAATTACACATCTGTTTCATGTTAATCTGTGGAACCAACAAAACAGAAATAATAAAAACAATAGTATTTTTTAAAACAGTAGAAAACTTTTACAGGAAAACAGCTAGAAGAGGAAGACAGGCTATAGAAAACCTAGCTTCTCTTAGCCAAACTTCTGAATCCATTTTACTTTTATTATAGTTCAGCCTAGAGGCAAAGCATGTTTCATTCTTACCACAAAGAAGGTGCTATGAGGAAGAATTCTTTTTAATAACAAAATACTACATATGTAAAAGCCATGTACCTTTGTAACAGGAAACTTATAAGGGAGGTAGATTCAGGTTTACTTTTCCACAATTTTGCAAGGGTGATTTTTATTAGGTGCTAGTCAGAAAAGAAAAGATTATCAGCTGAACTTTATATTGCAAATTTAAGTGTATCTTTTCCTTTTATTTAAGGCAGTTTGGACTTGGATTTATCAGCTATGTCTTTTCAGAACAGCACATTTAACCATGAAAGTAAATAGATTTTTAATATTTGGGTTAGATCCAGATTTAGGGGTGTACAGCTTGCCTGTCAGAAATGGACTTCCTGTCTCCTCCTCCCCACAGCTGTCCCTTGAGCTCCCTGAAAATTCTACACAGAAGGTCAGGAGAGCATGCTGAGCTATGTAGGGTATGTTGAATGAGGAAAGGGCAAATCCCTTAAAATCTAATACAGGCTCATTAATTGACAGAAGATGCTTCTGCTCAATTTTCAAGACTTCCCTTTCCCCTCATGCTCCTCCATACCACAGCTTACCCTGTTCAGTGAGATCTCTTGAACCCCCGTTTAGGAAAAGGAAAAAGCTTTAGCATTCATGTCAAAATATTAGAAAATGCTTTTCAGGAACTAATGATAGAAAATTGAAAAAGGTTTTAATTTGTCTGCAGATTTATTGCTCAGGATGATTTTCTTATATTTGGTTTTAGTGGAGATTGATTTGATGGTTGTGGAGGATTTCACAATGTAAACTGCTACTAATGGCAAAAGGATACATAAAGCAAAAGTATATTTGGGGAACTGAAATTATTCCTGGACTATGTACACCAACCCCTTCCAAACTGCAAGTTTCCCTAGTACTTTACTTTGTGCATCTACCTGTCACACTCTTCTAAGACAACATGTTCCATTTTCTAATAAAATCTGACTTCCTGTAATAGACATGGCATAAAA